ACCCCAACTTTTGTTGTATGTATGAAGGTCTCTTTTGAAAAGAGACAATTAATTTTGGTGAACAAAATATGTCTTAAAATGGCTGTGCAAGCATAACTGATTTTTAATACAGCACAATCATTTGTGAAGTTATTGATATATAATAGATGATTTTTTAGTGTAAGGTGATATTATGATCTCAATGGTTGGCAAACATCTAAGTTGTCCAACCAATCACTTAAAATTTTTGACAAAAATTAATAAAATAAACATTTAGACCTTTGAATTTTCTTCATTTTCTTGTCAAATGCTACAAGCATATTACATAATTACATGTCTTTTATCCTTTTAGTGTTACCTATCCTAAAGAAATATTATTCTATCTTAACACATTTTCTTAAATAAAGCATGTTATTTTCTGTGAAACATAATAGGAATGTGGAAAATATGTCTTCTTTTCAAATTAAGACTATATTAAATAACATCAGGAAATTCAGAGACTCAAAAGATTATATGTTATTACTTTAGTTCTGCTCAAAAAAGACAACTTTCCTGATGAAAGACTGCTGAATTATTGTTTCTTAATAGTTATACCCCAAAACTTTTTCTTAAATTAATGGCAAGTAAAATGAAGAGTTGACGTGATTAGTTCCCAAAGAATCAGACTCCCAGCACTAAACACACTCACAATATCAACAACACACACCTTCTGTAAGCACTGACCAAAGTTTCTTCACTGGAACCTAGCTGTTTATAAGGCTACTGGAAAAAATAGACACTATGAGAGAAAATATTGCTTCATTCTCTTTTTAAAAGTTTACTCTTCAAAATTTTGGTGTGTTCTCTAAAGGTCCTATCTACTATGTACTAATTTGGCCTAAGTTATATTTTATATGTGTACATATACAAGTAGTTGAAATATGTGGCTAAAATAAGTAGCTAAGAATGCCAAAAAAAAAAAAAAAAAAAAGGAAAACAACTCCACTGCTAGGATTATACCCCAAGAATCTAAAACATCATTTCAAAGAACCTAGCACCACAATGTTCAAGCAGCACAATTACAATAGCCAAGAGAACAACCAGGTGCCCATCATAAATGAATGGATCCAAAAATTGTGACAATACACCATGGAATTTTATGCAGCAGAGAGAAAGAAGGAGCTACTACCTTTTGCAACAACATGGATGGAACTGAAAGCATTATGCTGAGAAATAGGCCAGGCATTGAAGGACAAATACCAATGATCTCACCTTTGACAGGAAGCTAAAGAAAAAACAAAAACAAAAAAAAAAAAAAACCAAAGAGAACAAGCAGCACCAGAGGGGAGAGGGAAGGGAACTTAAGGGGAAAAGGGGGAGGGATTTTGAGGAACAAGTGAAACACAGAAAGGACTTGGGGGGGGAAGAAGGGGGAGACCGCGGGGGGGGAAGAGGGAAAAAAAATGTACTTGAAAAGTAACCAAATAAAATTATTAAAAAAAAAAAAAAAAAAAAAAAAAAAAAAAAAGAATGATTCTGCATAAAATTTATATTGAAGTTACTTAAAGCTCTTTTAAATTAAATATAATTTTTGGTTGCAAAGTATACTTAATTATAATCTGTATTATATCATCAAAGGAAAATAGCATAACATCTCTACAGTATGCTTATGCAATTTACAAACCCTTTCAAAAATAGAAATTCTGGGCGGTCACAAGAGGGCAGTAGTGTAACAGTAATGTTAATAACATCATTCATACATCAGAACAAAACAAAAGCTTTGAGTTTCTAAATACTGAAAATATCTTAAAATATTAGCTATTATCCTAAATATAGAAAATGATCAGCAAAGTAGAAAAATGATATAAATATAATATAGTAACCCTTGCGGTGGCAGCTTTAATGTCATGATTTTTTTAATATCAATTTATTTTCTACTGATTTTTGTTTTTCATGAGGAGGGTGACACAAAAGAGTTTCTTTTGCTTTCCTCTCTCCTGAAAGCTGGTTGAAAGAAAATAAATTCTGAATTTATTTTTTACAATTTATTTTTTTACAATTCAAAAAGGCATCCAAAAATTACACATGAAACAAAAACACACAAATTATATAGGTACGTTTTTTCAAATATTGGTAGACTGTAGAAGTAAATGAAATCAGACAACACAGCTGCTGGGGTCAGACAGACCCATATATTTACAGTGGTTTCCTCACATTAGACTTGTATCTCAAGTTCTCTAAGCCGTGTTTCCACAGCCATAATATGAAATAAGCAGGATCTCCCTTCAGAAAAACCTTGAGAAACAAATGACACACGACTGTTAGTACTGTCATTCCCATTAATACTTGATTCAATTGTACAGAGGACACATAAATAGAAGCATTTTCTATCAGTTTCAAATCATTTCAGCAAATATTATTATATTCCTATACGCTTTGGGGCCCAAATTCACTGCATTTTCCCCCTGTGTTGTCACAAGTGGCAACATTTCATCTTCTTATGGCTGAGTAGGACTGCACTGTACCTATGCAGCGCATAGTGTGTCCAATGATCAGAAGACAAGGAAAATGAAAGTTGTTTCAGGTTTGGGGCTGTTGTGAATAATGCTGGTTGTATTTTAATTTTAGACATTTTGGTGAGTCCATAATCTCAATTCAGTATGATTTTTGTAGAATATTTTAATGAAATACTTCAAATATTTAGAAAATTGGAAAGAACTATACATTTAACTCTCTTATAGTCATTGTATAAATTCTACAATTAATATTTGGCAGTCATTTTCTTCAAAACTTATCTATCCATCAATAAATCCCTATAACCATCTATAAGCCATTCTTAATTTTTTAATGTGATTCAAAGTAAGTTACAGACATCATCTTACACCCCTAAACACTCAGCAAGCCTATCACAAACTGGAGGTTGCTATTTGTTTATGTCCTTTTCATAGAGAAAAGTAAAAATAAACCAAAGATTTGGTTTATTTCCCTTACCTTAAATTTATCGATAGAAGAATTTTGACCAATTTAGGTGTTAGTCAAAATCCTATAAAGATATAGAGGGTACAGTCATTCCACAAAGTTCCCTCATACCCCTTTCCAATACGTCCAAGTCCTACACCATCCCATAAAAGTCAACAATTGGTTTACCTACTATGGAATTTTAAATAAACGGAATCATATTGAGAATTTTTCGTGTATAATTTCTTTGCTCTAACAGAGTATCCATTAAAGCTTTACAGGTGTATAATTGATATAAAGAAATTGCACACAGTAAAGCATAAAACTTGGTAAGTGTTGGCATATTCTAGTACATATTTGCAATTGCTCCCTCTTTCCTCTCCCAAATTCCCATATCAAGGCAACAACCAAATTTAATGAAAATGGAATCATGCAGCCTGAACTATTTTTTACTCTGGCTTCTTTTACTCATCATAATTATTTTGAGATTCATTGATCTTTGTGTCTTTGTTAGATTTATTTATATGTATTGATGATGCATAGTCCATGGTATACATATACCAAAATATATGTATTCATTCACAACTGATGGGCATTTGAGCTGCTTCCACTTTTTATTTATTACAAATGAAGCTACTATGAATATTTATGTACAAAGTATTATACAAACATACTTCCATTTTTATTTATCCATTCTGCATGTGGAATAGTTGAGTTATATGATAGATGTAGATTTAAGTAAGGACATAAAAATATTTTTCAAAAAGGTCATAAAATTTTAATTCTAACTAGTGATGTATGAGACTGATTGTTCTACAACCTCACCAAACTTTGGTATAGTCATTCTTTAATTTTAGTCATATATATATATATATATATATGTGTGTGTGTGTATACATATATATACATACACAAACACGGATAGATAATTCTTTTATTTTTCTAATGATTATTAGTGATAAACATGTTTCCATGTGCTTATCTGCCATATGATAGTTTTTACTAGTTTCTTAAAATTTACGATTGACAAGTACAAAGTTGTACACAGGTATGTACACTCAGTAAGTCTGACGGTAACTAGGCATCATGAAAACACGGCCGTCATAAAGGTCATGAACATATTCATGACCTCCCAAAGTTCTCTCCATGATCATAATATTGATGATGATGATGATGTTTGTGGTAAGAACACAACACAAGATTTACCTTCTTAGAATTTTAAGTGTACAGTATAGTACTGTTAGCTATAACTACTATTCTATATAGCAGATCTCCAGAACTTTTTTATTTTCCAGAACTAAAACTCTACGCCCTTAATTATGTTCCCATTTTCTCTTCCTCTACACCCTGGTAATACTCTACTTCTACGGATTTGACTATTTTAGATTCCATACATAAGTGAGACATGCAGTTTTGTCTGCATTTGGCTTATCTTACTTAGCAGAATGTTTTCTAGATCCAGTCACGTCACAAGAGCAGAATGTCCATTTTTAAGACTGAATAATATTCTCTTGTATGTACATATCAGATCATTTATGTTCAAATCATTTGCTTGTTTTTTTAAATGCATTTGTTTTTCTGTTTCTATATTTTTGTTGTTTTGAAATATACTTTAAATATACTAGAAACTCCTTTTTCATCACAACTTATAATATTGTATCTTAGTTTATGCATCTTCAATCTATTTGTCTATTTTTTATGCCAATACCACACTGCATTACTGTAGTTTTATTGTAAATATAAAGATAGTACACATCAAAAGCATTTCTTTTTCATTTTGCGATATGAGTTACCTGTTGTACTTTTAAAAAAATAATGGAAATTTCAAATCAGCTTCTCAGTTTCCAAAAACAAGTAGAAATTGAACTGGGATTGAACTGAGTTTATGTAACACATTTTGGATAATTGATATGTTAATATTATTGATCCTTCAGGTACTTCAACATGACATATCTCCACTTGCTTAGGTCTTCTTTAAAGTCCCCTAAGACTTTTCTATAGTATTCAGTTTATAGATCTTAGACAGTGTTTTTTTCAGACATTTCATAAATATTGTATGCTTTGAAGCAAATATAAATTACTAGTTTTTTGAAAAATCCCACCCTCCTGGGCGGAGGGAAGATGGCGTGACGGAGTGGCTGGAGAGACTGCGGGATGCCGAGAAGAGAGCCCTGCTGTATAAGCCATTCCCTGCTGCACGATGGGAGAAGGAAGGTGCACTATTGGTTCCCAGACGGGAAGGAAATGGCCGAAGAATGTGATGAGAAGATGAAGGAACTCTTCCTAAGAAAATGGCGTGTAAACAGTGTTCTGAGAGCCTTGGGCCAGAGGCAGATTGAGGTGGGAGGGCCAGCACCCCATGGAGCAGGAAACCTGGGGCCTGAACTCATCAATGAAAGCAATGACAATACCATCTTCCTGAGCAAGGACACCAAGGTGTGTTTCCAGTGGCAGATTCGAAACCTCCCCTAGCCTAAGGATGTCTATAGTGTCTCTGTGGACAGGAAGGAGCGCTGCGTCTTCGTCAGAACAACCAACAAAAAGTACTACGAGAATTTCTCTGTTCCTGACCTGGACAGACACCAGCTGCCACTGGGCGATTCTTCGCTGTGCTTTGCTTCTGCTAACTGCACCCTGACCATCTCTTACAAGAAGCCAAAGAAATTCCTGGTGGCTGAGTCGGAGCTGCAGGAGATGCCGAAGAAGGTAAAGATGACTCACAGCAGTGATGGGGACTGCAAGACCCAGTAGTGGATCCCCGAGCCTGCACCTCTGGCGTGAAGGGTGGGGAGGCTCTTTTCGTCAGCAGGCAAGACTTCGCAGCCTGAACCTTTCCTACACAGGAGCCGCCTCTTCGCATCCAGGTTCTGCAAAAACTGGACCACTGGGCACTCATGGCACTCTACCTCCTGAGTAAAGTCATTCTGAGTCACACACACACAAAATCATCCTCCTGTGTGTTCAGTGCTAGTATATAAATATACAACTTATTCATATATAAATGTTAAACCTTACAACTTTGTTAAATTCATTAAATGAATCTTGCAGATTTTGTCTCTGTTCCAGTAGATTTTATATACAGATAAATTTGCAATCTTAAATATAGTTTTATTTATTTATTTTTCAATCATGATAGTTTCTTTTCTTTCTGCTTTATTTAAATGGTTAGAACCTACAGTATAATACAGAAATGAAATATTAGTAGTAGATATCCATGCTTTGTTTCTGTTCTTTGATAGAAAATATTCAGTTTTCATCTTAAATATAATGTTAGCAATTGATTCTCATAAGGTGAGAAGATTTACTTTTATTCCAAGTTTGTTTAGAGATTTTTAAAATTGAGAATACATATAAGATCAACAATATATACAGAGATGATCACATGAACATTCTTTTTTAGTCTGATAATGTGGTGAGTTACAGAAAATTATTTTTCTGTAACCTTACCTCAGCAACTAACCTCCTCTTCATGGGATATTACCCACTTAGTGAAAATATACTGCCACTTTGGTAGTTATATTGTACAAATTCAATGTGAACACTGACTTAGCAGATACTAAACCTCTGCTGCTAGAGAAATTGCAGTTAGGTTCCTGTGAGCCTCTGGTCACAACATATACATTTACCCATCAACACATGAGGTGTGTCCAGAAAAAAGTCCAACCATTGTTAACATAATGAGAACAGTTTGCATGACATCAATGTAACCTGACAGCCGAGGAGAGTGGACCCAAATGGACATTCACGAACAATAACAACTTCATTCTACTAGTCAGTGGGGAGCAGTAGAAGCTGTTGAATAAGCATGTGCAATATGTGGCTGTCACATTCAAAATGACTGAGTGAGCAGAGTGACGAATCTGCATCAAATTTTCATTTATGCTTGAATGTTCCACTGCAGAAACTATTGGGATGATTCAGAAGGCTTTTGGGGATGATGCAATAAGTGCAGCACAAATAAAAGTGTGGCACACATGCTTCAAAGGTGGTCAAGGATCTGTCGAAAGCGATCCATGTTCTGGAAGGCCTGCACCAAGAACACCTAAGAATGTTGAACGTGTACAGGCTGCAATCAACAAAGATCGATGACTGACAGTGTGAGAACTAGAAGCTGATCTGGGGACTCAAAAACTACTGTGTCCTAAATTTTAATGTAAGAGCTAAGCATGAAACATATTGAGGCAGTGGATGGTAATTCCAACAAAGGATTTAGCAGAGTGTTTTCAATTGGGAAAAGGTGTTGGAAGATCTGTGTGAGATCCCAATCTGCTTATTTTGAAGGGGATTAAGGTGTTGTTGTTCTACATACAATGTTTCTTGTACCTTTTTCAATGTATGTGTCTATTTTTCATGTTACATGGCTGGATACTTTCTAAACAGGCCTTGTATAACCTTAATTAGTGTTTGGGTATAGACACCTTGCTTAATATATATTGTTGCTATATTAACATTGAACTCAGAGCTAACAGCATCATAACATGCACCTTAATGAAACTCATTTAATACCTGTATCCCCCAACTTTCTTCTTGTAATGAAGAATCCAAAACAGTACTTCAGTACTGCCCTCAAGGTCTTTAAGCAACAAAACCACCAACAAAAATGTTAAAAATGTAGTAGTAAATAGACCAAGTAGAACACATGTTTTTATACTGTAAGAGCTTAAATAAAAAGAGCATATCCTTATTTAATCTCAGTAATGCATCAGGTGACTCAAAATATTGCTCACTCTGTACATGTCTGCAAATTACTGTGATAATCCTACAAATAACAACTTTGAGGTTACAAATAAATTTTAGCCAATAGAAAATTAGTAAATGTAAATTCCATGGATAATGAGGATCAACTGTATATAATTTTCTCTTTTGCTGGATTTTATTTATTTCAAAAAAACCCTGTCATCTTTAAATATATTTGTAATGTAATGCTTTAAAAATAAGTTTTCTTAACTATGCATCAGAGTAATACTGACACCATAAAAGGACAGAAATGTGCCCTCTTCCTCAATGTCTGAAGTGTGTGTGTAGCATTTGTGTTATTTCATTTTTTAAATGGGTGGTGCAATTCCACAGTAAAGCCATCAGCTCCTGGAGGAATTTTATTGTGTTTATGAAGGTTTTAACTACATACTTCATTTCTCTGATGAATGACCTATTCATGTTATCTATTTCCTCTTGAATGAGATTTCATAGTTTATGTGTTTTAAAATACTGCCATTTCATAAAAATTGTTTATTAAATTTATAAAACTTCATAATATTTCTTCTCAGCTTTTTAATATCTGTAGAAGCTGTAATAATGGAAACGTACCTGTTGCTGGCAATTTGTATTGTCTCTTCTTTTTATTGTTCTCCAATTATAGGCTTTATTTTTCTAATTGATTTTTTCATTATTTCTATTTTCTATCTTATTGTCAGTCTTTTACTATTTCTTATTTTTTTGTTGATTTGGGGTTTCTTTGTCCTTTCCCCCCTTCTATTGCTGGGAACTGAGGTTGTTTGAGAGATTTCTTCTTTTCTGATGCAAGCATTCAGTGCCATGGATTCCCTCTAACCACTGCTTTAATGATTTCCCATGAATTTGGGTATGTTATGCTTTCATTTGAATTCAGTTCAGGTGTTCTTTAATTTTCTTTTTATGTTTCTAATGAGAAACATGGTATTTACAGGCTGATTGTGTCGAGCCCCACTCAATTTATATGTTCAAACCCTTAACCCACTCCCCAGGACCTCAGAATGTAGTGACTACATTTGGAGACAGAGACATTAGAAGCATTTACAGTTAAATGAGATTATATATGTGGGTCCTATTACAATCTGGTGGATGTCCTTATAAGAAGAGAAATGTGTACACAAAAAGAGACATCAGGGATATGTGTGCACGGAGAAAAGGCCATGTGAGGACACAGTGAAGCCACAGAGACTGCCTTCTGAAGCACTCAAACCTGCCAACACTTTATTCTTGCATTTCTAGCCTCAAAAACTGAAAACATGTTTTCATTTTCTTTAAGTGTCCAATTTCTGGTGTTTTTGTTATGGGTACCCTAGCCAATACACAAAGGTTATTTAGAAATGTATTATTGAGTTTCCAAATATTTGAGAATTTTGTGACTATCTTTTTGTTAATTTTTTATTTAAGTCCTTTGGGGTCAGAGAACATACTCTGTATAACTGGAGTCTTTTAGGATTATGAGTGCAGTTTCACTGCCCAGCATGGCAAGGATCACCACAGCAGCTTCGTTTTTCAGTGTGGAGGAGAACACGGTGTGTATTCATGTTTTATGGGGAGTACTTCATAAATTTCATTTAAACCAAATCTGTTGATAGTGTTGTTTAGTCTCCCAAATAAATGTCAAATCTCGATGTACTTGTTCTTTTCATTTGAGACAGAAACGCTAAAATATCTTACTACAACTATGCAATTGTCTGTGTCTTCATACAACTCCTTTGGTTTATGCTCTGTGTTTTCTAAAACTCCACTCTAGACACAGAATACTTTAGGATTATTACATTCTCCCGATAATTTGCCCCCCATTTATGATTTATTATAGGCAATTGACCTCGTATATAAAACAACTTATTATATACATTTATTACTTTGGGATCCGCTGTGAGGAGTAGAATTCTCAGAATTTTGTGGTTTGCTACACTGACATAGATCAAATGCAGCCAAAGAAAACAACAAAATTTCATCAAGTGCAAAGTGCAGATAACATGTTGTCACTTTATCATAACAGAGTGACCACTTTAACCACCGTGTTTTTTTTTACTAAAATCTACCTCATATGATATTAATATAGTCTCCATGTTCCTTTAGTTTGATGTTACCATAGTGCACCTTTTTCATTTTATTCACTTTTGTGACATCTATGACTTTATTATGCAAAATGACTTCCCTGTAGCAGCATATAGTTGAATTTTGCTTTTTAAATTTAATCTTAAAATCTCTGCCTGTTTATTATATTCATATTACATACATTAAATGTAATATTTGATACTATGAGTTTAAAACCAAGTTTCTACTCATTTTTATTTTTCCAACTATTATCTGTTCCCTTTTCCCTGGCTTCTTTTGAAGACGTTAAATTCATTTATCTCCTGCCAGTCAGGAATCACTATTCTTCCTTCCTTCTTGTTCACTGCATAAGAAATAGTTGTTTTCTAAGTCTATTTTTCAGTTGTTTCAACTGAAACAACTTAATAGGGACAACTATATATTCAGTCCCTATTATTTTATCTTGTCAAGAGGTATATGTCTTCCCCAACAATGATTTAAAGCAGCTGTTATCAATATATTCAAGGATTCCGATTGATAAATGACTACTATGAAAGAACAGATAGAAATCATAAGCTGAGAAATGAAAACTCTATAAAACAACCAAATGAAAAATGTAAACTTGAAAAATTCAATATCTAAATTTTAAAAATGAACTGGGTGGACTCTAAGCACTTTGGAGATGACTGAAGAATGAATCCAATACATTGATTCTAAATCAACAAACATTAAGCAATCTAAAAGACAAAGAAAAAATGTTTGAAAGCAAAACACATTTCCTCAGAGATCTGAGGTGTTACCTCTAACAGGCCTAAAATATATGTGGTCGGAGTCTTAGAAGGAAAAACTGATGTATGGACTTCCTTTCACTGTCATGTTCGTTGGCCGCTTTTTTTAGATACACTTTTGTGAAGTTTGTATTTAGGTACCTTGCCTCCTGTCTAGGTTGTTTCTGTTTATTTATTGATTTAGACATCTTT